GTCAGACGTCAACACTCTCACATCGTTTTTACACTCAGAAAGCATGGTGAATCATAAATTTACCTTTTTAATGGGTTTTTTAAACTCCTGAAGCTCTTCAGCACTCATGTCTTCCCATATCTGATATACAGGATCAATAAATTTCTTTGACCTGCCAACAAAGATTACATCAGTTAAATGACATTTCCAAGTCAAGGTAAGTAAAGGTCAAAATGTACTTAAGCTCTAGCTCTTTTCTCACAAGATTTGCTTCTCAAAAACCAGGAAAATTATAGCTTAATCATAAAAATACTCTATGTAAATTCTGTAACTAACGGCTCATATTTTTAAGGTTTGGCCACTCATATAGCTGAATGTGTTTCTCACCTTTACATTTCCAGATGAAGTGTTTCTAAACTTTTCAACTAACACTAAGTTTCAGTACACCCAAATCAAAATTAAAATCTAAATATTCTGGAACTTCCTTTTTTATATCATTAGTTTTTTGCTAAAAAGAAGTCTGGGAAAAACAACTAATCTGGTTTTAGTCAACCAAGATCGGGTGGACCAAACTATCCTAAATGATGCTAGTTAGAAATGTGTAATAAGCAAAAATCTGGGCTCATTACACAAAAGCAAAGTTAAGACTGGTGTGGTGTGGTCCAGAATTGCCCATTTAGACAAACACCTGACTTTCATTTATCCTATGTAATAGTATGGGATGTGTCCTCTAGAAGAAGGAACAAGCCACTTGTTATTTAGCTAAAAAAGGCAGCACTCCCCACTCTGGTATCTCTATCCCCACTTCTTATTATGTTTAAACCAATGGGTTTATAGAAAAACACACAAATAGGAACACTCTAGGTAATCAATCTGGACTCTTCTTTAGGTAAAGATCTACAAGCCCCGACCTGGCTATGGCATCCAGTATGCTGTAACAGTCATTTTTCACTTTAGGCCTGTGACATAAATGAAAGCAGATCACAAGCCTCTAATGAACACAGCTCAGTGATGAAGAAGCCCTGAATCACAAACCCGGGAAAAACAAATATGCAGTATGTTTAAATTTACTGCTGACAGCATCAAATGTTTAAGAGTACCTACCTCTTAAGAACACAAGGGTCAAAGGGGAAGAAAGTGTCAAGTGGGTTTGTGCAGGTTTGCACTGAGTCCCCTCCAGCCGTATTTCTAATGACTGGTAGCATCTGACGATTGTTCCTCTCGATGATGGTATAGCAGAAGACTAGCTGGTATTTACTGTGGAAGACCAAAAATACAACACACACTAAGCAATTACCATGCTGGAATTACTCATTCCGTATGGAACATAACTGCTGTTATGTGACAACGAGACTGACCACAGACATTGCTGAACAAAACAAGAGCAAGAAAAAATAACATAAAGCAGAAAGTAATGCTACATTAGGGTACAGTTCTCAACATCTATTATTTTCAAATTTGATGGGGAGAAAGGAAATATGGCTATCACTTAATAGCTCTAGGAGACTGGGTTTTCATTAATCACTAAAAACAAAAAATGTTTACATGGTACCACTCTAGTTTACAGAATTATATAGCCAGCTTTATTCTTTTTCAAGTGTTTGGAAAAGAATTAGGGAGTTGGTAAAAAGAGGTTCAAGATTTAGTGAGAAGGAATAGTGGTTGCTGATGCAAAGACTTGGCTGTTGATGACAGAGAAGAGAGGTGTCGTTAGGTGCCATCAACTCAGTTCCAACTCATCACAGTAACCCTATGTGCAACAGAACAAAACACTGCTCAGTCCTGCACCATCCTCCCAATTATTTCTGCTTCAGCCCATTGTTGCAGTGATTGT